GTGGCTTAACCTGCTGTGTCGCAGTGCTGGTTCCTATTAGAATGTGGGTTCAAGTCCCAGCTGCTCCACATCAGATCTAGCTCCTGCTAATTCATCTAGGAAGGCAAAAGGGGCTGGCTTAAGGACTTGGTCCTCTCACTTAAGTGAGAAACCCAGATGGAGTTCTGGGCTCCCAACTTCAGCATGGTCTAGCCCTGGTTGTTGTAGGCATTTGAAAAGTGAACCACTAGATAGAAGATCTTGATACCTCTCTCTCTCTCCCTCTCCTGATTTTTCCCCAATCCCTCTCCCTCTCTCTCTATAGCTCTGCCTTTCAAGTAGGTGAAAATAAATAAACATTTTTAAAATGTTTAAAATAGGTCCAGGCAAATGACAAGTACTTGACATTATCCATAATGAAATGGTGATAGTTATACAAAAAATTAAAAATAGGAAGCTATTCTCTTGTTGCTTAACCCACTGTGCCACAATGCCTGGGCCTGAAATATGATTGTAATTGATAAAAATATTCCCATAAAAATGTATAATTTAAAGCTATACAGCTCAATAAATAATCACTGGTTAAGATGCAACTTGGGGTGCCTGCATTCCACATTGGAGTGCCTGGTTCAAGTTCTGGTTCTGCCTCTAATTTTAGCCTTCTGCTAATATGCATCCTGGGATGCTGCAGATGACGTTTTAAGTTGTTGAGTCCCTGCCAGCCATATGAGAGACCTGAATTAGGTTCTGGGCTCCTGATTTTGGCTGGCCCAGCCCCAGCTATTGTAGGTATTTGGGGAATGAACTGTGGGTCAAAGATTTGTCTGTATGTCTCTGTCTCTGTCTTTCAAATAAAGTGAAAATACATGTGTAACCACAACTCGGTTCAAGAAATAAACATTGGGGATGCCACAGCGCCGGCATCCCATATGGGCACCGGTTCTAGTCCCGGCTGCTCCTCTTCTGATCCAGCTCTCTGCTATGGCCTGGGAAAGCAGTAGAGGATGGCCCAAGTCCTTGGGCCCCTGCACCTGCGCGGGAGATCCGGAAGAAGCTCCTGGCTCCTGGCTTTGGATCAGCGCAGCTCCGGCCATTGCAGCCAGTTGGGGAGTGAGCCATCAGATGGAAGATCTCTCTCTCTCTCTGCCTCTCCTCTCTCTGTGTAACTCTGACTTTCAAATAAATAAATAAATCTTAAAAAAAAAAAATTCTCTCTCTCTCTCTCACTATCCACTCTGCCTGTCAAAAAAAAAAAAAAGAAAGAAAGAAACAAACAAACATTTGGGCCAGTGTGGTAGCTTCAGGCTAAACTACCATGTCACTGGCATCCCGGATGAGAGTGCCCAGCTGCTCTCTGCTTCCAATTCCATCCCCCTGCTATTGGACCTGGGAAGGCAGCCGATAATGGCTTGAAGTGCTTGGGCCCCTTTCATCCATGTGGGAGACCTGCATGGAGTTCCAGGCTCCTTTGGCCTGGTCATCCTTGGCTATTGTAGGCAGTTAGCTAGTAAACCAGCAAATGGAAGCACTCTCTCTCTCTGTGTCTCTCTCTGTCTCTTTCTCTTCGTATCTGTCACTTTGCCTTTCAAATAAATAAATAAAAATAGAACATTATTAATTCTCAACAGAATTTTGAAAATTTTCTTCATTGCTAATATTCACTAGTTTTTCCTTGTGCTTAAAATCTATCATCCAGATCTTTTTTATTGGGGTAAAAATATATAACATAAAATTTGCCAGTTTAGTCATTTCAGTGGCCATCTTTTTTTTTTTTTTTTTAATTTGACAGAGTTAGAGAGAGAGAGAGAGAGAGAGAGAGAAAGGTCTTCCTTCCATTGGTTCACCCCCCAAATGGCAAATGGCCACTATGGCCGGCGCCACGCCAATCTGAAGCCAGGATCCAGGTGCTTCCTCCTGGTCTCTCAACGCAGGTGCAGGTGCCCAAGCACTTGGGCCATCCTCCACTGCCCTCTGCCCTCCGGGGTCACAGCAGAGAGCTGGACTGGAAAAGGAGTAACCGGGACTAGAACCTGGCGCCCATATTGGGATGCCGGCACTGCAGGCAGAGGATTAACCACGTGAGCCACGGTACCAGCCATTTAGTGGCCATCTTAATAATTTTTTAAAAAGATTTATTTATTTGAAAAGCAGAGAGTGAGAGTGAGAAAGGGAGGGGTGGGGGAGGGAGAGAGAGAGGAGAGAGAGAGAGAGAGAATCTTCCTTTTGCTGGTTCACTCCCCAAATGGCTGCAATGGGTACAGCTGGACCAATCTGAAACTAGGAGCCAGGAGCCTCCTCCAGGTCTCTCAGGTGGGTGCAGGGGCCCAAGGGCTTCAGTAATAGGTGAGCTTTCCTTTCTATTTGCATTAAATTTACCTGTTTTTTTTTGTTTGTTTGTTTTTTGTTTTTTTTGTCTGAACTTGTCATCTTAGGGGCAGACTTCAAGATGAGTTTAACAAATAGCCTTTTGCATCACTGAGAATGTGCTGGTAAAGATATCTAGATATCTCCACTTGGTTACAATTTGAGGGGTGGGAAGTTATACATTTGCTGCTATGCATTTCCTTAATATTCATCTTAGAGTGAAAAATATGAATCCTTTTTACTGTAAGGGACTCACAAGCTTTCAGAAATTCTCTATTGGCAAAATCTAGATGTTGCTATGTGAAAATAAAGATTTATTTTATTTATTTGTAAGAGTTACAGAGAGAGGCAGAGACAGAGAGAGAGGTCTTCCATCTGTTGGTTCACTCCCCAGATGGCCTCAACTGCCGGAGCGGCTCTGATCCGAAGCAGGAGCCAGAAGCTTCTTCCGGTTCTCCCACGTGGTTGCAGGGTCCCAAGGACCTGGGCTATCCTCTACGCTATCCCAGGCCATAGCAGAGAGCTGGATTGGAAGAGGAGCAGTCAAGACTAGAACCGGCGCCCATATGGGATGCCGGCACTGCAGGCCACAGGGCTTTAGCCTGCGGCGCTACAGCACTAGCCCCATTATGTGAAGTTTTTAACACTGGGTCATTTGGAATTCTCAATTACTGCAGAGGCAGCTAAGGTTTGTGGGAAAAAAGAGAGAGAGAGAGAGAGAGAGAGAAAGCGAAACACATAATTATTAACTCCTTTTCTCCTGTTAGTTTTCTTAAGTCGTACAGTGGAAGACATCTGTGTATAATGCGCCCTATGACTTTTATCAGCAGAATAGGAAAAGGAGACACTATGACTTAGATTCTGTCAATATTCAAGTGTTAAGAACACAGTTCTACAATGGAAGGAAGACTTTCTTGTCTTTCTCTCTGTGTATCTCTCACTGTCTAACTCTGTCAAAAAAAAAAAAGAACAGTTCTATTGTTAGGCATAGGTAGAGTTAAAAAGTCAGAGGTGGTACTTTCCAGTGGTTGATTTGTTATTTTTTTTCCTGTGTACTGTTTTATTGTTTAACAATTTTATTTATTTTATTTATTTCTTATATCCTTGCAGGGTAACTAAATCTCAGTAGCTGAGAGCACAGAGGCTTCAGGTTAAGCCGTGAAATTGAACTTTCTCTGTGTTGTGATCACAGTGGTGGTTGGTGATAGTAATACTCATGTAGGTAGTAACATAATGATTCTTATATGGCGCTTTCAGTATGCCAGGCAAAAGTAGTGCTTTTTTTTTTTTTTTTTTTCCCTGAATTACCTCATTGACGACAACCCTATGAGAGAGATACTGTTATCCCCATTTTGGTTATGAGGGATTGAGATACAGAGGTTCGTAACAGAGTATTCCAAGAACAAGTGGCAGAGCTAGGAATTGATCTGAGGCAGCCTGGCGCCAGGCTTCTTCCTTCTAACCATTACACTGTACTGTACTTACTTGACACCCATATAAGTAAAGGGAAACGTGAGATAAAAAATGCTTTTAACATCTTTGTGGGCTCCGCGGAACTTATTATTTGTTCATTCAGGGCTCCCTGTAGAATCAGTGATTACAGAGAGAACATTTAATCCCAAAGCATTCATCCCTGTTTTCAAACTAGTATTTTCAGATCTGTCCTCCATCTAAGACCTTACATTTAGAGAAAATATACTTGAACTTTTTAGTTGAATTGGCAGATCAAGAGCTTACAGACAGGATATTGCCTTTGAGTATTTAGACTATATCTGCTGACCCCCTGAAGCAGTAATTTGGATAGATCACAATGTTTCCACCAGAGTACAGCTGCAGTATTAGGGGTTCTAACTTCAAAGTATGTATGTGTGTGTTTTATGTGTACCTTTGTGGATAGGCCACTTCTCCACAAATGGAACCAATCTTATACAAATTCTAAAAACCTTTTAAAGCCATTTAAATCCAAGAAATATCTAAGCATTTAGAATTATGAGCAATGCAGAATGTTACCTTTTTGGAGACTTGTGGTTATGTAGAATAAGTAAGACATCCTGCCCATTTAAAAAATGCTTATGCTTAAGGCCTAAAGAACCTCCTTTTTTTTTTTTTTTTTTTTTTTTTTTTTTTTTTTTGACAGGCAGAGTGGACAGTGAGAGAAAGAGAGAGAAAGGTCTTCCTTTGCCGTTGGTTCACCCTCCAATGGCCGCTGCGGCTGGTGTGCTGTGGCCGGTGCACCGCACTGATCCGAAGGCAGGAGCCAGGTGCTTCTCCTGGTCTCCCATGGGGTGCAGGGCCCAAGCACTTGGGCCATCCTCCACTGCACTCCCTGGCCACAGCAGAGAGCTGTAAGGCCTAAAGAACCTCCTTTTAATCTAGCAGAATTAATTTTTACTGCAGAATTAATTCTTACTTTGGCATGGATTTATTTACCCTTCTTATCTTAAAGTCTGAGCTGTTTGATAAGAAAGCCAATGCTCTATTTTCTTTTTACTTTGTATGGATTTTGTGGATCTGGCTGTGCTCTCACAACACAGAGCAGACCTGGTGTTTTGATAGGTCAGGTGTTTGGCTGAAGGAAGACTAGATCTCCATTTCTACCCATCAGCCATGCATTTTGTGGAAGCAGATGACTTTCTCATGCTTTTCTTTTCACCTAGGTCTATGAAGGTTTAGACATCATCACCAACAAGGTTTCTGCCCAAGAACAGAGGATCTGCCAGCATCACATGATCAGCTTTGTGGATCCTCTTGTGACCAATTACACAGTGGTAGACTTCAGGAACAAAGCAACGTCTCTGATATCCTTTGGAAACACAGTGACCAGTCCTGATGATGGGCAGAGCAGCCCAACCCCAAAAGGTTTTCTTTCTTCTTCCCCCACCCCCTTTTTAAAAAATTTATTTGTTTTAGTTGAAAGGTAGTTACAGAGAAAGATTAGGAGAGAACTTCCATTTGCTAGTTCACTCTCTAAATGGCCACAACTGGGCCAGGCTGAATTCAGGAGCCAAGAACTCCTTCTGGGTCTCCCATGTGGATGCAGAGCTGCAGGCACTTGAGTCATTCTTCGCTGCCTTCCCATGCACATTTGCAGGGAGCTGTATTGGACGTGGAGCAACTAGGACTCAAACCAGTGTTCATATAGAATGTCAACATTGTAGGTAGTGGCTCAACCTGTTGTGCCCCAGTGCTAGCCCTGGCAATTTCTTCTTCTTCTTCTTCTTCTTCTTCTTCTTCTTCT